AAAAAAAAAAAAAAAAAAAAAAGAAAGAAAAAAAATACCTTAAGCAAAAAACTCCCACCAAGTGGTACCCATTAAATAAGTCAAATGAAAACCGATATGTATTTCCTGTCCTTGGACACTTATCACATAGATCATCTGTTAAGAAAGCTGACAATCTCTCTCAATATCCTTTTAAGTATATCCACCACCTCACTGCATATCACAGCGGTTTCCTACAGCAAGCAAGTACACCAGGTAGGGGCTCCACCCATAAGGACCACCTTAAGTATTCAATTCTGTTCACCAGCACAGATGCGTGAAACTTCCCCAGTAATCTGGAGATAGTCATATCAACAACTAATAGCAGTATTTTATAGATCTGTATTGTATTTTCTTTATAGTTATGTTAACACTACTTCCCAGATTGTACTACAGGCTGTTTTGCTTGCCTCGGAAATACAAGGTTGGCTGGAGTGGACCTGAGTAGCCACCACAGACTGACAGTAGAGTAGGCTGAAAATGCAGGTTCAGGTTGGCTATGTTAATTAACGGCCTAATGACCATGCTGTAAGCAAACTGACAGCAGGATCATTTATGAAACAATCTGACATAGTCACCCTAACTGCCATTGACTTTCCATGAGAAATTCAGTCACAGGAAAGATGGTGCAAGTTAGACAAATGCCATTTCTGCCCATGCAAAATATGCTTTTCTGACTACAGTGGTCATCTCACCATTCTCTCAATCTTCACGCACTGAGTTCATTCACCGTAACTCAGCTAGCACATCATTCTCTTTTCCTTAGTTATCTAAGTAGCCTCCTCCTCCTCCTCCTCTGATGCCTAGGGTGTCAAACAAATTTCACATAGAAAGTAAACCACAGGCAGACACATGAACTCATGCACCCTCCACTGGGTGTGGTGCTCTCTCTCCCGCTGTTACAGCTCTCTGTAACTACCCATCAAAAGTAAAATCAATCTGGGAGCTCTTCAGAGCTTATCTTCCACTTGCCTACATCTTTTGAAATTCTTTAGACCAAGAGTAAACAAATAATAATAAGTATGACTCCAAGATTTCAGCTCTGTATATCAGACAGATGGAAATCTTATGATCCACGCTGGCCTGTGTTGTTTCTCCACCCTTGGAGAACAGCCTTGCTGCCCAGCATGCATACATACCCCACAACTAAATTAAACTAACCTTATATCCATTTGTCACCTTGTGCGTAACTGTTCAAAGTCTTTGCAGGCAAGTCTCTTTCTACAGTTAGCTGTTCCAGCTATCTCAGGCAATGAGAGCACGGCACAGCATGATCTCGAAGAGGTATGCCAAGCCTTCTGATACATGACACCTCTTATTAAATATTCAGATGAAAAGATGATGACTTGGAAACCATCCTACACCTTGTTACCAAAGATAACACACTCTTGGTCTAAATGTCAACTAAAAGAAAGAAAAAAAAATAGCAGAGTGTTGGCTGCTTCTCCTGTTACCTTCTCTGTGTTTCTGAAATGAGAAAAAGCAGTGTAATCTCTGTGCGTTATTGGTAAGTTGTTCTAGTAAAGCATTAGTGCTGAGTCTATCATACTTCCCACGCAGCACAACTCAAGTACAAGAGACTGAGCATCTCATCTATGTGAGAGGACATTTCCCACCACGCTAGGTAGGGATAACAAGTAACAACAGACATTCTGCCCTGTTGAGTGGGTAGGACAGATTTATATCTCCAGGACTGAAATCCCAAACCTGCTGAAGTCAACAACAAATCTCCTGATTATTTAAGTAAGTCTAAAATCTTGTCCTCAGACTGAATGGGGGGACTCTACAGCCTAGAGCGGAAAATAACTCTGCTGGATTGGGAATATAGGCAATGAGGCCATCTGCCTCAGAACTTCTTCAGAGAGATTCAGCACCCTCGCTATTTTATGTCAAGCACTGGATTGAAATCAAGTTATTACCCAGTAAGAAACTTGGCAATAGCTAGGATGATTATGGGGCTGAAACCATTTCATACAACCCAGCTTCAACTGGTTTCCACTTGAAACCGCCAATCAGTTCAAACATTATCTGAGGCACTTTGATTTTAGCGTTTCTTGCCCAGTACTACTATATTATTATTTATTGTTTGAATTATGACAGCACTGAAATTTCGTGATCAAGCTCAGGGGCTTGCTACAGTAGGCATTTTATAAAGATAGGGGAAGGTCTGGTCCCTGTTCTAAACAGTGTGTATTCTGATTAAAGAGAAACTTAATAATTTGTAGCACTACCTGCCCTCAGTGAGTCGTAAGCTAAACCTGATGAATCTAAATTATTTTTCATTTTTCATAGAGGTAGAAAAAAACCAATGCCTAATTTAAGGTGGATCACACTACTCCATTCTAGAGGAGGCAGGGAGAAAGAAGAGCTGTGGGTCTGAGCTTTGGCTCCACTGCAAAGGTATCAGAAATACGTGAAAAATTTCCAAACAGAACAAAAGCCTTTAAGACGATTTTTAACTTAAACAGGCAGCCCAGATCTGCCTTTTCTTTCCCCCATGATTCATTCAAATGCCAGTGTGTCTTCCCTTTCTCCTGCCTGCAAAAACACCTTGCATTCATAGCACTGCCCTCCCAACACGTACCTCAATTAGATGCAATTGTACCTATTCAGCAAGGTCTTTCCCACACAACTTTATTATCTAGAAGCCTTTACATCTATTACAGATCGATTTTCTCTGTGGTCCACCCCAGGAAATGAGATCATTCATCCTGTATCAAACTGCTGCACCTCCACTTGCAATCTAACCTGCTTCTAAGACCTTCACCCTTCATTATCTAACACCACAGCAGTTGAAGTGGCATCTGTTGACTTGTATATCTCCAAATTGATGGCAGACAGAGGACGTTAGTAAAACGTCCTTGATGACAAATTTCACTGCCAGACTCGGTCTATATAAGCTGCATTCGTTGGCCTTCTGCGCTCTTAGAAAGCCTTTCTATTTACCCAGGCTCTTCCTGAAAGGA